GATGATGATGATAATAATAATAATAATAATAATAATAATAGTAATAATAATAATAATAATATGGATATGATTTTATGTTTATAAGCTCGCCAAACTAATTTATCTATATATTTGTACTTATTAGTCAAAGCACATGTAAGCTAAGTGTCTATGAATCAAAATGAGTAAAAGTAATAAGTTATCACCCATATTAATTTTAAAATTTTAATTTTAGTGAGCACTTTTTATTTCAATAAGTATTTTCATTTCTCTGTAATAAATTTTCTAATTCTCAAAGTATCATTTTCAAGATTAAGCTCTTAATATCTCTCTTCGTTTCATTTTAATCGTTTGTTAATCTCTTTATACATATACTTTTAAATTCTACATTTGTAAGTAACATTAAATGAAATATAATTAGAGAGAAAAATAAATTAAACAAAGGAAGAAGTGAGAAAGAGAAGAGATCCAAACTGTTTATCAAGAAAGTATAGCTTGCTAGAAAAAACATATTAGTTGCACATGGTACTAAATACATTTGCAATAATTAAATAACAACATAATTTTTTCAGAATTTTTACGTATAAAAATCATCTGGAGTAACACAAAACTAAAAACAAATTATTTTTGTTATGGGAAGATGGACTTCTACCAATATGGGCTTACTAAAATAGAGATTTTGTACCATAAAAATTAGGAAAATTCTTTTAAATGTCAATATTTTAATATTTAATGGAGCTCATTAGTAACACTTTCAATATTTGATAAAAAAGTCAAATTTTAGTTTGTTATGTATCTTATTTATGTTTTTATTATTTATTTTATTTAAAGAATATAATTATTTTAATAACAAAAGAGAGAAAATCAAGGGAGAGAATATTTCAAAAAAAGGTAAGGATCACTTAATTTTCTCATCACTTACATTTTCAAATAAAATTTAAACTTTATTTTTTTTTCTCTAGAATTTTTACCTTTTTAAAATTATATTCATTCCACAATATATTCTATTTATATTTATTATAATTTTTTATTAGTTTGTATTCATTCCAATAGGTATGCCGAATGTATCTATATAGTCATTTAAGAAATATATTTGTATTCATATATTTTTTCCCTATATAGTTATTTTTTTCTTCAAAAATCTTGCATGTATTCATTTCAATATGTATTTTATTTGTATTTCTATTTATTCTAATTTTTATTTAGAATTTTGTATAATAATATATAAAATACAAAAAAATAGTATGATGAAAAAGTGAATGAAATATAAAATTGAAAAGAAATAATTGAATATTTGGTGTACTCATTCTCAAATAAAATACATAACTAGTTCACATACCTTTTAAATAAATACAAATTAGAAAAAAATGACAAATTCAGTAACAATGCAACATAATTTTTGAATGAATACAACTATTAATTGTAAAAATACATACCGACTAAAACAGTATCAAAATTCAATATATCCTTCCAAAATTTATGAATACAAAAAACAATAAAACTATGAAATACAAAAATAAATACTAATTTTGGTACATTGACATAACTATCACAAAAAAAAAACAAATACAAAATAAATTAAATATATGAAATACAATTCCACATCTATGAATACAAAATACAATAAAACAATGAAATACAAAAATACATACTGACTAAAACAGCAACAAAATTCAATATACACTTCCAAATCTATGAATACAAAAAACATTAAAACTATGAAATATACACAATTAAACTGATATAATGTCTTAAATTGACATAACTAACACAAAAAACAGAGCACAAAATACAATAAATATATGGAAAACAAAAATAAATACTAACTATAACATAATAAAAATTTCATATACACTTCCAAACGCATTGTTAAATGAATTTTTTTTTAATCTTAAAAATTACTAAACAAATTAAACTAAACATGCAAGACACAGAACATGCAAAAAAAAACATCTTCTCCAACAAATTGGTCTTCTTCAACTTCATGGTTATCAATTTGTGTGATATTTCGCACATAGACGGATTCAGACATTTTTCCTTGTCGTATATCCTCCTTAGATTTAGAAGCGGAACCTACATTGTTGTTTAATCTTGAGTGAAAAAAATTAAATGATGAAAAATCGGAAGAACATTGATTATTTTGTCCAATCCTCTAGTAACTCTCTTAAATTGAAGAAAGAATTATTTAGTCTCAAACCCTAAAAAATGTTTTAAGAACAACAACAAAACAAAAAAATTAAAAAAAATACTAAAATAAGTAAGTAAATCAATAAGGAATCTGAAAAACATAATATCCAAGTCAATGTTAATCTTCAAATCAAATCTTGCAACGAAATTAAATGAGAATAATAGAAAATATTAATATATTGAATCGAAAATCTGTGGAATTGATTTGGAAGAATGTTAGAGAGTGAAATTGAAAAGAAGCGTAAGAAAAGAGAGAAAAATCAGGGGATTTAATTAGGAAGAAAGTAAGAGAGAGAAGTTGATAAGTTTAAGAAAATAGAGAAAAATTAAAATGATATTAATATCTATCCAATTACATAAATATATGAAAATATGTAATCTATGAGAGAGAGAGAAAAAAGAGTGTAAATAATGAGAGAGAAAATATTAATAATATCAGAATAATTATTTATATTTAAAATAAAGACATTTTTGACATGTTTACTAATATTATTAAAATATGAATATTATCACTAAATAAGTTAGTTTATTTGACTAGTTAGCAAAATTTTCCTAAAAATTATATATTCAAGCTCGTAAAAGAAAGCAAATTGCTTTTCTAGTGGGAGTTGTATAAGCGATAACGTCCATATATGAGTCCATGAGAACTACAACTCATGAATGTAAAATCGTTATACAGTATTCTTGGCCTAAACATCTCAAAAGTGAAGCATATTAATATTGCCTATTAGAATAACAATTTCATAGATAATATTATCCTTGAAACTTTTAAGAGTTATGCTCATTTCAGTATTCAAGACTTGGATCTACGGTACAATTTTTTGTAATAACCATACTAATATATTACCTTATAATCTCTTTCTGAAAAAATTACTAAAATACACGTTTTAAATTTCTCTTATTTTCAATATTTCTTTCTATTTCTAAAAATTTCTTAAAATCTCTTATTTCTTTAATGTATTCGAGCTACATATTATGTATCTGATTTATTTTATAATCTATTCGAGCTAGTTTTTATTGTATCTCAGCTACATATTATGTATCTGGTTTATGTTATAATGTATCTGAGATACTCTTTAATGTATTTGAGATACATATTAATGTATCTGGTTTGTGTTACTTTTGAAGGATTTAATGTTATTACAAACTAAAGAGGGATAGATTGTAATTTCATATTGAAACCACCTCATTTCTCTAAAATTTACCTTTTATTGAAATTTCACTCAAATGTCAAAAAAAAATTATTGAACTGAATTGTAGTGGTTTGTTACTGATTTGGAGAAAATTGGGGCTTTAGAATATGCTGAAGAGAAGGAAAGCGATTTTTCCCAAATTGTGAATTATTTGGATTGATTGGAACTTCGTAGCGAGATTAAATATTAAATCTGAGGGTGTTTGGTGAAGATTTAATGAAATTTAAGGTACAACTTTAAAATAAGAACTAAAAATTTAGTATATTATATATACACTAATTATGTGTATAACCATATATAATATGTCTAAAGAAAATAAAATCTCACTAAACTAATGCTCCATTAATTAATAATCACGTTATGATAATAGTTTCCTCCGGTCCTGACTTGGGCTTATAGAAAAAATTACTCATTTCGATGAGATAATAAGACAATTTATTTTCAAA